CTGTGCAATCATTCAATAGCGTTGCTGTACAATCATTCAATAGCGTTGCTGTACAATCATTCAATAGCGTTGCTGTACAATCATTCAATAGCGTTGCTGTACAATCATTCAATAGCGTTGCTGTGCAATCATTCGGTTTTGAGCATCACTCACAGAAATGTATTTGTTTCTATTACTTACACTAACATGTTTATCTACTGGAGCTTATGTAAGTCAGCCATCTTATTATTTTTATACTATTGTTTTGTTATTGATCTCAAACTGAATTTCTTGTCTGACGTAGATAGTGCTGTATGACATCGGTGTGACCTTTTTTCAGTCACTACAGTTTTTGTCGGTATTCTCATGACTGGGATTTCATCCATGATATCAGACAACTCACAATTCAAAAACATTTCAAAATCTCAAATATCAATAGTTTAAATTTATTGGCGATTATTTTTGTGATAAGTCACCTCTGGCATTGACATTATTTAGGTTAATGGAAAACTCTACGTTTTGAAGTCTTCTACTTAATAAAAGTATCTCTCCATTGGACAACTAGGTCACTTGATGTAAGATTCTCGTTCTTCGCTTAGAATAATACCAATGTTGGCTTCGGTTTTGAAAAAAAACCTAAATTCTTGTGCCAAGGGACCAACTTAAGAAATCTGTGTCAGTGTTAACATTTACTTCATCTTGACCTATTTGCTATAACTACACCTGAACTCCTGTTCTAATCCACCAGGCTGTGGTAGGTATGCGATGTGCAGTAGATGATCAGTGTGACGTGGGAGAGTGTTGTCAGATCTTGAGTCTGGACATGGTGACCAGCAAGAAGAGGGCAGCTGCTGATTGCGATTCACCTATGGCCGGTAAGGGAGAAGTGTTTTTTTTTGTACTGGTGTTAAAATTACGAAAGCATTGGGACTAACGTTCTTTATCTTCTGTTGGTATCTTTCTCTTCTGTTGGTATCTTTCTCTTCTGTCGGTATCTTTCTTTTCTGTTGGTATCTTTCTCATCTGTCAGTATCTTTCTCTTCTGTTGGTATCTTTCTCTTCTGTTGGTATCTTTCTCTTCTGTTGGTATCTTTCTCTTCTGTTGGTATCTTTCTCTTCTGTCGGTATCTTTCTCTTCTGTCGGTATCTTTCTCTTCTGATGGTATCTTTCTCTTCTGTCGGTATCTTTGTCATCTGTCAGTATCTTTCTCTTCTGTCGGTATCTTTCTCTTCTGTTGGTATCTTTCTCTTCTGTCGGTATCTTTGTCTTCTGTCGGTATCTTTCTCTTCTGTTGGTATCTTTCTCTTCTGTCGGTATCTTTCTCTTCTGTCGGTATTTTTCTCTTCTGTCGGTATCTTTCTCTTGTGTCGGTATCTTTCTCTTGTGTCGGTATCTTTCTCTTGTGTCGGTATCTTTGTCTTCTGTCGGTATCTTTGTCTTCTGTCGGTATCTTTGTCTTCTGTCGGTATCTTTCTCTTCTGTCGGTATCTTTCTCTTCTGTCGGTATCTTTCTCTTGTGTCGGTATCTTTCTCTTGTGTCGGTATCTTTGTCTTCTGTCGGTATCTTTGTCTTCTGTGGGTATCTTTCTCTTGTGTCGGTATCTTTGTCTTCTGTCGGTATTTTTCTCTTCTGTCGGTATCTTTCTCTTCTGTCGGTATCTTTCTCTTGTGTCGGTAACTTTCTCTTGTGTCGGTATCTTTGTCTTCTGTTGGTATCTTTCTCTTCTGTCGGTATCTTTCTCTTGTGTCGGTATCTTTGTCTTCTGTCGGTATCTTTGTCTTCTGTCGGTATCTTTCTCTTCTGTCGGTATCTTTCTCTTCTGTCGGTATCTTTCTCTTGTGTCGGTATCTTTCTCTTCTGTCGGTATCTTTCTCTTGTGTCGGTATCTTTCTCTTGTGTCGGTATCTTTCTCTTCTGTCGGTATCTTTCTCTTCTGTCGGTATCTTTCTCTTCTGTCGGTATCTTTCTCTTCTGTCGGTATCTTTCTCTTCTGTCGGTATCTTTCTCTTCTGTCGGTATCTTTCTCTTGTGTCGGTATCTTTCTCTTGTGTCGGTATCTTTCTCTTCTGTCGGTATCTTTCTCTTCTGCCGGTATCTTTATCTTCTGTCGGTATCTTTCTCTTCTGTCGGTATCTTTCTCTTGTGTCGGTATCTTTCTCTTGTGTCGGTATCTTTGTCATCTGTCGGTATCTTTCTCTTCTGTCGGTATCTTTCTCTTCTGTTGGTATCTTTCTCTTCTGTCGGTATCTTTGTCTTCTGTCGGTATCTTTCTCTTCTGTTGGTATCTTTCTCTTCTGTTGGTATCTTTCTCTTCTGTCGGTATCTTTGTCTTCTGTCGGTATCTTTCTCTTGTGTCGGTATCTTTCTCTTCTGTTGTGATATTTCTCTTCTGTCGGTATCTTTGTCTTCTGTCGGTATCTTTCTCTTCTGTCGGTATCTTTCTCTTCTGTTGGTATCTTTCTCTTCTGTTGGTATCTTTCTCTTCTGTTGGTATCTTTCTCTTCTGTTGGTATCTTTCTCTTCTGTTGGTATCTTTCTCTTCTGTTGGTATCTTTCTCTTCTGTCGGTATCTTTGTCTTCTGTCGGTATCTTTCTCTTCTGTTGGTATCTTTCTCTTCTGTTGGTATCTTTCTCTTCTGTCGGTATCTTTGTCTTCTGTCGGTATCTTTCTCTTCTGTCGGTATCTTTCTCTTCTGTTGGTATCTTTCTCTTCTGTCGGTATCTTTCTCTTCTGTTGGTATCTTTCTCTTCTTTTGGTATCTTTCTCTTCTGTCGGTATCTTTCTCTTGTGTCGGTATCTTTCTCTTCCGTCGGTATCTTTGTCATTTGTCAGTATCTTTCTCTTCTGTCGGTATCTTTCTCTTCTGTCGGTATCTTTCTCTTCTGTCGGTATCTTTCTCTTCTGTCGGTATCTTTCTCTTGTGTCGGTATCTTTCTCTTCTGTCGGTATCTTTGTCATCTGTCAGTATCTTTCTCTTCTGTCGGTATCTTTCTCTTCTGTCGGTACCTTTCTCTTCTGTCGGTATCTTTGTCTTCTGTCGGTATCTTTCTCTTCTGTCAGTATCTTTCTCTTCTGTCGGTATCTTTCTCTTGTGTCGGTATCTTTGTCATCTGTCTGTATCTTTCTCTTCTGTCGGTATCTTTGTCATCTGTCGGTATCTTTCTCTTCTGACAGAATCTTTGTCATCTGTCTGTATCTTTCTCTTCTGTTGGTATCTTTCTCTTCTGTCGGTATTTTTGTCATCTGTCGGTATCTTTCTCTTCTGTTTGTATCTTTGTCTTCTGTCGGTATCTTTCTCTTATGTCGGTATCTTTCTCTTCTGTCGGTATCTTTCTCTTGTGTCGGTATCTTTCTCTTCTGTCGGTATCTTTCTCTTCTGTCGGTATCTTTCTCTTCTGTAAGTATCTTTCTCTTCTGTCGGTATCTTTCTCTTCTGTCCGTATCTTTGTTTTCTGTCCGTATCTTTGTCTTCTGTCCGTATCTTTGTCTTCTGTCGGTATCTTTCTCTTCTGTCGGTATCTTTCTCTGCTGTCGGTATCTTTCTTTTCTGTCGGTATCTTTCTCTTCTGTCGGTATCTTTCTCTTCTGTCAGTATCTTTCTCTTCTGTTGGTATCTTTCTCTTCTGTCCGTATCTTTGTCTTCTGTCCGTATCTTTGTCTTCTGTCCGTATCTTTGTCTTCCGTTGGTATCTTTCTCTTCTGTCGGTATCTTTCTCTTCTGTCGGTATCTTTCTCTTCTGTCGGTATCTTTCTCCTCTGTCGGTATCTTTCTCTTATGTCGGTATCTTTCTCTTCTGTTTGTATCTTTGTCTTCTGTAATACCGTCAGTGTCTCTTCTAATTTTAGCATCGTATGTTCAAGTATGCAGGTTAATGATTTGTTTGAAAGAAAATTTACTTTTCCTTATATTATGTCAGCGTATGATCAAAGTCTTTTTTTACCTTTGAGGAAAGTCTTGTTAAACCTTTGATAAAAATTAGGTTTTACATTTGATGATAGTCTTGTTTTACATTTGCTCAAAGTCTGTTTTTTTTCTGGTTGGTCACTAACTATATCTCGATGTCTCTCTAGGCTCTCCATATTCTAGACCTCTAAGTGCCTCAGTAGAATTTTAAAAACTTAAATTGAAGCTCTACTGTTAGTAAATGTTGAGACATGGGCTTTGCACGATTTTTTGTTTAATTTTTGTCCCAGAATCACACCATTAGTCACTTTTGGTCCTGTTGCACACCATTAGTCACTTTTGGGTCTGTTGCACACCATTAGTCACATTTGGGCCTGTTGCACACCATTAGTCACTTTTGGGCCTGTTGCACACCATTAGTCACTTTTGGGCCTGTTGCACACCATTAGTCGCTTTTGGGCCTGTTGCACACCATTAGTCACTTTTGGGCCTGTTGCACACCATTAGTCACTTTTGGGCCTGTTGCACACCATTAGTCACTTTTGGGCCTGTTGCACACCATTAGTCACTTTTGGGCCTGTTGCACACCATTAGTAGCTTTTGGGCCTGTTGCATACCATTAGTCACTTTTGGGCCTGTTGCACACCATTAGTAGCTTTTGGGCCTGTTGCACACCATTATTCACTTTTGGGCCTGTTGCACACCATTAGTAGCTTTTGGGCCTGTTGCACACCATTAGTCACTTTTGGGCCTGTTGCACACCATGAGTCTCGTTTGGTCCTGTTGCACACCACTAGTCAGTTTTAGGCCTGTTGTACACCATTTGTCAATTTCGGGCCTATTGCAAACCATTAGTCACTTTTGTTCCTCTTGCACACCATTGGTCCCTTTTGGTCCTGTTGCACGCCAATAGTCATTTTTGGTCCTTTGACACACGATTATTCACTTTCGGGCCTATTGCACACCATTAGTCACTTTTGGGCCTGTTGCACACCAATAGTCACTTTTGTTCCTGTTGCACACCATAAGTCACTTTTGGTCCTATTGCACACCATTAGTCACTAATGAGTTAGTGTGTCACACGATTGTTCACTAAAAATGTGACCCTATCAATTCTGTTGCAGGAACCTGTCAGAAGTACACCCTTGAGGGAGGGAACTGTTGGTGGTACAACAAGATAAACGGCTACTGTAGCTGTGAGCCTGGCACCGAATGTAACGCGTACGAGATTCCCATTATTTCACGTAGAAGAAGTGAACGGGGCTTGCCTAGGACGAGCCCTGGTTATGAGTGGCGCTGGAAATGTAAAAGAATCACAGTGACAGGAGGTAAGAGGACTGTCGACTAGAGGACAATCAACTACAGTATACACCACTAAAAGACTATCAACTAAAGGACATTAATCAAGGGGATACTCGACTAGAGGACATTCGTTTCAAAAATGTAGTTCATGGGATGAATACAAACGTCCCTGAGACTTGTTTCATGGCGTCTACACAAATAAAGAATGTTTAGAAAAGTTAATTTTATTGCATTGTACTTGATTGTTGCACAAATGTTACATATTTTGTGACATTTTTGTGACTCTAGCAAGTGTTTCTCTTGTAATGCTACCCCTTTTAAATACTAATTAAATGACTTCTTTCAAGCTATGTGAATGACATAGTAAAACATGGTATGCTGAAGCTTGAATCAAACGATAGGAAGATGTGAAAGTTTCGGCTTCCTCAGCGAACAGGACAAGAAACAGAGCACAGTTAAAAAAAAAAACCACCAAACTTTAAAGATCTCATTTGTTGTTGCCGGAAGTAGTATGACAGGAAGTGAAAGAATATAAATGTTGTTATAGTTAACAAAAAAGGTCCAGAATCTTAACGGACAAACTATTTAGTGATGCATAAATCTAAGCAATAAGAAACAAGAAGAAATACAGGTAAATTGAGAAACATTAGTAGTAGAGTATTTGATTAATACCTTATAGAGAAAGGGAACACTGCTGAAAAAAAATTGTTTTCCCTTTTAACTTTTGTGAGTTGGTACAGGAAATCATTGCCCTGATGGAGAAATGTATTGCACCTTAATGTTACTCTTTTCTAAAATGTGTTGAGACTGAGGAAAAATTACCTTGTTCAATATTATGAAGATGTTCAGTGAAATTATCTGCTACTCTTCTTTCAGTTTCGCCTATATTACTAGAATGACATCTACTGCACACAATCGCATACATTATATTGCGACTGACACATGTGAAACCCTCTTTGATGGAGAAGGGACATTTGGGGGGTGCTGGGGCTAGTGTTTTTGGTTTTGAGTGTATACGGACAACACCTACAACGTCTTCTTGAGCATGGTTTAGTCCCAACGTAAGACGAGTCAGCTCAAAGGCAACGGTGAACCAAAAGGTCTCCTAGATTTTTGTCTTGTGTCAAGACAACAAGTAGAGGGGATGACCACACTACAATTACACTCAGACCGCACTACAGCTACACTCTGACCATTCTACAGCTACACTGACCAACTACAGCTACATACAGACCACCCTACAGATATACTCTGACCACACTACAGCTACGCTCTGACCACACTACAGCTACATTAAAAATTAAACTAAGATTCATTCGGTAGATGTCAGCAGCTTATTTGAAAGATTTTTTTTTTTGAAATTTCTTTTAATTTTTAAAAAATGTAAAATTTTGACCTAAACTTAAAAGATGGCAGCTTCCACACAAAAGTAATATCAGATGTGTACATATCTGAGGATAGTTTTATAGATCCCATCTGTGGATCCCATCAAAAGGTCCCATAAACAGATCCCATCTACAGATCCCATCTACAGATTCCATCTACAGATCCCATCTACAGATCCCATCTACAGATCCCATCTACAGATCCCATCTACAGATTCCATCTACAGATCCCATCTACAGATCCCATCTACAGATCCCATCTACAGATCCCATCTACAGATCCCATCTACAGATCCCATCTACAGATCCCATCTACAGATCCCATCTACTGATCCCATCTACAGATCCCATCTACAGATCCCATCTACAGATCCCATCTACAGATTCCATCTACAGATCCCATCTACAGATCCCATCTACTGATCCCATCTACATATCCCATCTACAGATCCCATCTACAGATCCCATATACTGATCCCATCTACAGATCCCATCTACAGATCCCATCTACAGATCCCATCTACAGATCCCATCTACAGATCCCATCTACTGATCCCATCTACATATCCCTCTACAGATCCCATCTACAGATTCCATCTACAGATCCCATCTACTGATCCCATCTACAGATCCCATCTACAGATCCCATCTACATGTCCAGTCTACAGATCCCATCTACAGATCCCATCTACAGATCCCATCTACAGATCCCATCTACCGATCCCAACTACAGATTCCAAAAAGCCCAAGCCACCCCAACTCCCTCTCTCCCACCCCATGCACCACACCAGTTTCCCATATTTGAAGGTGTCATCTCTTTGATGGTGTGTTGTTGGCAAGTGTTGTCAAGGTTAGTCACAGCTTGACATCTATCAAACCATTGAACAGCGATTTCAAGATCGTTTCTATCTGCTGCACACCCTAAGCATTGCTTGAATACGTCATGCATCCATTTCAAAATTAAAGTGGCAGAGGAAAGAAGTTGGACGGAAGAGTCGTATAACTAGGATGGCCATAAGAAAGATGTGTGGTGTAGAGGGCGTCTGACTAGATGGCCATAAGAAAGATGTGTGGTGTAGAGGGCGTCTGACTAGGATGGCCATGAGAAAGATGTGTGGTGCTGAGGGTGTCTGACTAGATGGCCATGAGAAAGATGTGTGGTGCTGAGGGTGTCTGACTAGATGGCCATGAGAAAGATGTGTGGTGCTGAGGGCGTCTGACTAGATTGCCATGAGAAAGATGTGTGATAATGAGGGCGTCTGACTAGATGGCCATGAGAAAGATGTGTGGTGCTGAGGGCGTCTGACTAGATGGCCATGAGAAAGATGTGTGGTGCTGAGGGTGTCTGACTAGATGGCAATGAAAAAGATGTGTGGTGCTGAGGGTGTCTGACTAGATGGCCATAAGAAAGATGTGTGGTGCAGAGGGCGTCTGACTAGGATGGCCATGAGAAAGATGTGTGGTGCAGAGGGCGTCTGACTAGAATGGCCATAAGAAGGAGGTGTGGTGCAGAGGGTGCCTGACTAGATGGCCATGAGAAAGATGTGTGGTGCAGAGGGCGTCTGACTAGGAGGGCCATNTCTGACTAGGATGGTCATGAGAAAGATGTGTGGTGCAGAGGGCGGCTGACTAGGATGGTCATAAGAAAGATGTGTGGTGCAGATGGTGTCTGACTAGATGGCCATGAGAAAGATGTGTGGTGCAGAGGGCGTCTGACTAGGATGGCCATAAGAAAGATGTGTGGTGCAGAGGGTGTCTGACTAGATGGCAATAAGAAAGATGTGTGGTGCTGAGGGCGTCTGACTAGGATGGCCATGAGAAAGATGTGTGGTGCAAAGGGTATCTGACTAGATGGCCATAAGAAAGATGTGTGGTGCTGAGGGCGTCTGACTAGGATGGCCATGAGAAAGATGTGTGGTGCAAAGGGTGTCTGACTAGATGGCAATAAGAAAGATGTGTGGTGCTGAGGGCGTCTGACTAGGATGGCCATAAGAAAGATGTGTGGTGCTGTGGGCGTCTGACTAGGATGGCCATAAGAAAGATGTGTGGTGCTGAGGGCGTCTGACTAGATGGCCATAAAAAAGATGTGTGGTGCTGTGGGCGTCTGACTAGGATGCCAATAAGAAAGATGTGTGGTGCTGAGGGCGTCTGACTAGATGGCCATAAGAAAGACGTGTGGTGCTGAGGGTGTCTGACTAGATGGCCATAAGAAAGATGTGTGGTGCTGGGGGCGTCTGACTAGGATGGCCATAAGAAAGATGTGTGGTGCTGAGGGCGTCTGACTAGATGGCCATAAAAAAGATGTGTGGTGCTGTGGGCGTCTGACTAGGATGCCCATAAGAAAGATGTGTGGTGCTGAGGGCGTCTGACTAGATGGCCATAAGAAAGACGTGTGGTGCTGAGGGTGTCTGACTAGATGGCCATAAGAAAGATGTGTGGTACAGAGGGCGTCTGACTAGATGGCCATAAGAAAGATGTGTGGTACAGAGGGCGTCTGACTAGATGGCCATAAGAAAGATGTGTGGTGCTGAGGGCGTCTGACTAGGATGGCCATAAGAAAGATGTGTGGTAATGAGGGCGTCTGACTAGATGGCCATGAGAAAGATGTGTGGTGCAGAGGGTGTCTGACTAGGATGGTCATAAGAAAGATGTGTGGTGCAGAGGGCGTCTGACTAGGATGGCCATGAGAAAGATGTGTGGTGCAAAGGGTGTCTGACTAGAATGGCCATAAGAAAGATGTGTGGTGTAGAGGGTGTCTGACTAGAATGGCCATAAGAAAGATGTGTGGTGTAGAGGGCGTCTGACTAGATAGTCATAAAAAAGATGTGTGAAACAAAATTTGTGACCAATGGCTAGTTTAGACAAATATTTATTAAGAAATTAAAAAAATATATATATATTATAAGAATCTGGTCTTATAAGTCAACTATAAAATATCACCCGATTTATCGAGATAAGGATGGCAGGAACTTTGCTGCTAGTATTTCTACTTGCAATTGTGAAAACTCACCACAGCTCCTTGTTTGAAAAAAATATCTTTGTAATGAAGATTACGTTTCAAACATCATGAAAAGTTTTAAGAAGTATTTTTCTGTTATATATTATACCCTTCGTAAGCAAAGAATTCTTATATCTAAAGAAGAATCTCTTAACCACTTTTCACGTCTGTAACAGCATTAAGTATCTTATTTATATCATACTTTCCGTAATTAAAAAAAAATAATAATGAGATAATCTTTCCGAAAAACTATATACAACAATTCTAATAACAAGCTATGGCCATCAGCTTTAGGAGGAATCTGTTCAAAGAACAAGTAAAACTACGACTGACATTACAAAATAACTAATGACTTGTTTTCCACCATTTCCTTTTATGTATCTATTGAGACCTAATCCAGTCCCACACTCTTAAATCTGATCGTTTCATCCACTATCAATACATAATTTCGATCAAAACATGAACCTCATGGCAACCGTAACTCACGTCACGCCATCCCGTGTTTAGCGTTCAGCCATCAACATTGTTCTTGTCGTTGGCATTCAGTCTGACATAAACTCTTGAGCCGGAACAATCATTTGTTAGCGCTGCCGTACAAACATTTGGTTTGGATACTCTCTCACAGAAATGTATTTTTTTCTATTACTTACAGTAGCCTGTTTATCTACTGGAGCTTATGTAAGTCAGCCATCTCATTATTTTGATACTATTGAAACTGAATTTCTTGTCGGACGTGGGTATCGCTGAATGACGTACGTAGCGCTGTATGACGTACGTAGCGCTGTATGACGTAGGTAGTGCTGTATGACGTAGGTAGTGCTGTATGACGTAGGTAGCGCCATATGACGTATGTAGCGCTATATGACGTCGTTAGCGCTATATGACGTAGATAGAGCTGTATGACGTAGGTAGTGCTGTATGACGTACGTAGCGCTGTATGACCTTTGTTCAGTCACTGCAGTTTTTGTCGGTATTCTAATGACTGTGATTTCATCCACGATATCAAACGTCTCACAATTCAAAAACATTTCAAAATTTCAAATATAAATAGTTTAAATTTATTGGCGATTATCTTTGTGATAAGTCGGTCACGTCTGGCATTGTATTATTTAGTTTCAAGGACAACTTTATGTTTTGAAGTCGTCTACTTCATTCAATTATCTCTCCATTGGACGTCTAGGCTACGTTTGGTAATATTCTCGTTCTTCGTTTAGAATAACAACCAACTTTGACGTCTGTTTTGAAAAGAAATAAATTATTGTGCTAAGGGACGAACTAAGAATTCAGTGTCAGTGTTAACATTTAGTTCATTTTGACCCAACAGTTATAACTACACCTTAAACCTTGTTCTGATCCACCAGGCTGTGGTAGGTACGCCATGTGCAGTAGAGGATCAGTGTGACGTGGCAGAGTGTTGTCAGATCTTGAGTGAGTTCATGGTGGCCAGCAAGAAGAGGGCAGCTGCTGATTGCGATTCACCTATGGCCGGTAAGGGAGAAATGATTTTTACTGGTGCTAAAATTACAAAAGCATTTGGAATAACGTCCTTTGTCTTCTGTCGGTATCTGTGTCTTCTGTCGGTATCTTTGTCTTTGTCGGTATCTTTGTCTTCTGTCGGTATCTTTGTCTTTTCTCATTTTTAGTCTTCTGTCCGTATCTTTGTCTTCTGTCGGTATCTTTGTCTTTGTCGGTATCTTTGTCTTCTGTCGGTATCTTTGTCTTTTCTCATTTTTTGTCTTCTGTCAGTATCTTTGTCTTCTGTCCGTATCTTTGTCTTCTGTCCGTATCTTTGTCTTCTGTCGGTATCTTTTTCTTCTGTCGGTATCTTTGTCTTCTGTCCGTATCTTTGTCTTCTGTCGGTATCTTTGTCTTTGTCCGTATCTTTGTCTTCTGTCGGTATCTTTGTCTTTTCTCATTTTTTGTCTTCTGTCAGTATCTTTGTCTTCTGTCAGTATCTTTGTCTTCTGTCCGTATCTTTGTCTTTGTCCGTATCTTTGCCTTCTGTCGGTATCTTTTTCTTCTGTCGGTATCTTTGTCTTCTGTCCGTATCTTTGTCTTCTGTCGGTATCTTAGTCTTTGTCCGTATCTTTGCCTTCTGTCGGTATCTTTTTCTTCTGTCGGTATCTTTGTCTTCTGTCCGTATCTTTGTCTTCTGTCCGTATATTTGCCTTCTGTCGGTATCTTTGTCTTCTGTCCGTATCTTTGCCTTCTGTCGGTATCTTTGTCTTCTGTCCGTATCTTTGTCTTTGTCGGTATCTTTGTCTTCTGTCAGTATCTTTGTCTTTGTCGGTATCTTTCCTTCTGTCCGTATCTTTGTCTTTGTCGGGATCTTTGTCTTCTGTTGGTATCTTTGTCTTCTGTAATACCGCCAGGGTCTCTTCTAATTTTTCATCGTATGTTCAAGTATGCAGGTTAATGATTTGTTTGAAAGAAAATTTAATTTCCCTTAACTTCTGTCAGCGTTTGATCAAAGTCTTTTCTTTTTTTTACCTTGGGTGAAAGGCTTGATTTACCTTTGAGGAAAGTCTTGTTTTACCTTTGATAAAAATTAGGTTTTACCTTGGATGAAAGCCTACTTTTACCTTTGATTAAAGTTTGGTGGTTTCTTTTATGAAAATCTTTTTTACATTTTAAGAAGTCTTGATTTACCTTTGATAATAGTCTTGTTTTACATTTGAGGAAAGTCTTTTTGGCATTTGATCAAAGTCTTGTTTTTCTTTTGATGATTAACTTTGACGAAGATTTTGATTTACCTCTGATGTTGCCTTGTTTGTTTCTGGTTGGTCACTAACTATAACTCGATATCTCTCTAGCCTCTCCACATTCTAGACCGCTAAGTGCCGCAGTAGAATTTTAAAAACTGAAATTCAAGTTCTACTGTTGGAAAATGTTCAGAAATGGGGTTTGCAGGAATATTTGTTTAATTTTCGACCCAGAATCACACCATTTGTCCCTTTTGGGCCTGTTATATACAATTCGTCTCTTTTGGGCCTGTTGCACACCATTAGTCACTAATGAGTCACTGTGTCACACGATTGGTCACTAAAAATGTGATCCTATCAATTCTGTTGCAGGAACCTGTCAGAAATACACCCCGGAGGGAGGTAACTGTGTGTCGTACGACAAGATGAACGGCTACTGTAGCTGTGAGCCTGGCACCTACTGCCACGGGTACGAGGTTCCCATTACGACAGGTAGAAGAAGTGAACGCGGTATGCCTATGACGAGACCAGGTTATGAGTGGCGCTCAACATGTGATAAAATCACAGTGACATGAGGTAAGAGGACAGACGTCTAGAGGACACTCCACTAGAGGTCACTCCACTAGAGGACTTTCCACTAGAAGACTATCCAGTAAAGGACATTTCTCAAGGGGATTCTTGACTAGAGGACACTCGTTTAAAAAAAAGTTGTTCATGGGATGAATACAAACGTCCCTGAGACTTGTTTTATGGCGTCTACACAAATAAAGAATGTTTGGAAATGTTGATTTTATTGATGTACTTGATTGATGTACAGCTGTGACATGTTTGGTGAATGTTTGTGGCATGTTTGTAACATGTTTGGTGACATGTTTGTGTCATGTTTGGTGACATGTTTGGTGACATGTTTGGTGACATGTTTGGTCGCATGTTTGGTCGCATGTCTGTGACATGTTTTGTGACTCTAGCAAATGTTTCTCTTGTAATGCTGCCCCTTTTAAATACTAATTAAATGACTGCTTTCAAGCTATGTGAATGACATAGTAAAACATGGTATGCTGAAGCTTGAATCAAACGACAGGACAGTAAGATGTGAAAGTTTCGGCTTCCTCAGCCAACAGGACAAGAAACAGAGCACAGTTAAAAAAAAACGCCAAACTTTAGAGATCTCATTTGTTGTTGCCGGAAGTAGTATGACAGGAAGTGAAAGAATATAAATGTTGTTATAGTTAACAAAAAAGGTCCAGAATCTTAACGGACAAACTATTTAGTGATACATAAATCTAAGCAATAAGAAACAAGAAGAAATACAGGTAAATTGAGAAACATTAGTAGTAAAGTATTTGATTAATACCATATGGAGATTTGGAGCCGAGCTGAATAAATTTGTTTTCCATTTTAACTCTGTCTGGTAAGTTGGTATAGGAAATCATTGCCGTGATGGATACATCTAATGCACCTTAATGTTACTCTTTGCTGTCCCTTTGATTTTCTTAATTTTTAAGCAAATGTTTATTTGTAAAAAGAAAATGTAGCATCTCTTTTATCACAGAGGTAATACCATATTATTAAAATATATTGACATCCACGTAAAAATTTACACACTCTATTTACTACCTCCGATATGTATGTACCCAAGGAGGTTAATTATTTATCAAATTCCATTCCTTTATTTTGAGACTTATCTTGTGCTGCCTGGGACAAAATATCCAAACCGTCAAGATATTTTATTAAAATTAATACAATCTTCCATCGGATTGTAATCCCTTCCATACCCACACTAAAATATGATTGTTCTTATTTGGATGAGTTATAAGTGGATTAGGGAATGCTAGTTGGTTGTGTAGCTTCCCTGCACTGATTGACTTAAACCGCATTTTCTTATTAGAATAATATTATTTAAAGGTTTTTTTCTATTACGTTAAAAATTTAATAAAAAATATATGTTTGGAATACAAAAGGCAACAATTTTTAAATGTTAAAATATACACAGCAGAAAAGTGTGTGTGTTTTATTAGCAATTTAAAAATCAATCAATTGTATTTATTAATTTTACTTTTAAGAAGAGAAAATACAATATCAGTTTTGTCACGCGCGCTTATTAAATTTAAAGAAACCTAAGAGTTTTGGCGAAATAAGCTATTCGCGCTATGACGTCATTTTCGTTATTATTTAGAACAAATTAATTTAAAATTTTATTTCGCAATATTAACAACGCACTAAAAGACGCACTAAAAACGACTGATGTTTGGGTTTTCCCGATAAATGTTATGAAGGTTTATTTCTTTGATCATGATTTTTAAATTTTTTAAGTTTTTCATAATTTTCAAACACATATAAAATGTATAAAATAGTTCCTTAGTTGATACTTTTAATAAATTTGTAATTTATAATAATAAAACTTATACATTTACTAACATTAAAGCGGATATATACTATTTTTTGCGCATTTAAATTTATTCGATTTCCGTAAAATAATAGAACATAACTATAATTGTTTTTAAGAATCAAAAAGTATCAAAATAGTTTCTGACTTTTAGCGTTATGTCACTATAGCTCATTCTTATATATATATATCATTCACCAGCAAAGGTCAAACACCAGCACCACCAAGCAGGCTATATATAGCTAATGAGTTCACTAGCGTGCAAAATATAATTCCCGATAACTACGCTAAATCATTTATATTTTTTAATAGCGCAACTTCGTTTGGTACGTAATATTTTTCGATAAATGAAATCGTATCAATTTAAGTAGTGTTTAAAAAAAAAATATTCGGTATAAGAGTAGTTGGTACATGAGAATATTAATATAGTTAATGGGCGTGAAAAAAAAGTGTGCAGTGACGTATCATTTGGGGGGGGGGGAAGCGAAAATTGGAATTCATACAATCGAGAACCTTCGAAGAGATACTAGTAAACCTACTAACCATGTTCAGGATGCTAGAGTGAGATAGACGTAAATATTCGGTATAAGAGTAGTTGGTACATGAGAATATTAATATAGTTAATGGGCGTGAAAAAAAAGTGTGCAGTGACGTATCATTTGGGGGGGGGGTAGCGAAAATTGGAATTCATACAATCGAGAACCTTCGAAGAGATACTAGTAGACCTACTAACCATGTTTACTTCGTTGTCTGTAGTAAACACGATGCATCAAAGACTAAGCCACACCCACAACAAACGCTACCGTCTGCTAGGGATCTAATGTGGGGTGAAACAAAGTTCAAGCACGGGGAAAGTGTACTACATAACAAATGTCATGCCAGAGAGAGAGGAGTCATGAATGTCATGCCAGAGAGAGAGGGCGTCATGAATGTCAAGCCAGAGAGAGAGGACGTCATGAATGTCATAACAGAGAGAAAGGACTCATGAATGTCATGCCAGAGAGAGAGGACGTAATGAATGTCATGCCAGAGAGAGAGGACGTCATGAATGTCAAGCCAGAGAGAGAGGACGTCATGAATGTCATACCAGAGAGAAAGGACTCATGAATGTCATGCCATAGAGAGAGGACGTCATGAATGTCATGCCAGAGAGAGAGGACGTAATGAATGTCATGCCAGAGAGAGAGGACGTCATGAATGTCATGCCAGAGAGAGAGAGAGGAAGGAGTTTGAGAGAGAATATGAAACATGGCGAAATATCCGCCGCAGTGGGAATGTTTGCTCTTGCAATGATTTAAGTAGATGTCTTACAGCATCGGAATAGCTCTCTTCCATCTGTGTGTGTGTTATAACGTATGTCAAGAGTATGAGATCATAACAATCATATTATTCCAACTTGAAGACTTATTTCATATTGTCAATTGTAATATGTGGATAAAGTATATGGCGATGAAAAGCGTCTGATCTGTCTCGTGCTTCCATTGCAGTAAGATATCTTAACAATTAGACAGCCCTGAATTGTAATCAATTTTACAACTGTAACACTATGTATTAATTATAAGCAACGCTGAGGAAGTAGTGTTACATATTACCGTTACATTAATACAACACATCAAATTTTACCGTTACATTAATAAAACACATCAAATTTTACTGATACATTAAGAAAACACATCAAATTTTACTGATACATTAATAAAACACATCAAATTTTACTGATACATTAATAAAACACACCAAATTTTACTGATACATTAATAAAACACATCAAATTTTACTGATACATTAATAAAACAAATCAAATTTTACTGATACATTAATAAAACACACCAAATTTTACTGATACATTAATAAAACACATCAAATTTTACTGATACATTGATAAAACACATCAAATTGTAAGGTTACATTAATAAAACACGTCAAATTTTACCTTTGTATTTTTCACATTTAAAACATTTTTACTTATTTTTCATTCCAAAACTATACTTTCATCAAACTTATAAAGTAATAAAAACTAAACGCTTAACAATACTTTAAACAAGAAAATGACGTCACTAAGGGCATAATAATATTCACAGCGAATACGCATAGCGAAACTGCCCTCACTCATGCACGCATCACTCATCCATAGAGAACAAACCATAGAGAGCTGCAATCGGTTTATTTTGATAACTTTATCTAAAGACGCAATAAGATAGTGTTGGGATGACCATTCATTCCAGCCATTGGTCAAGCAAACACCTGTCACTGCACCGTGGGTCAACCCAACAGTTTTGTACAGGTTTTAAAAGAAAGTTGGGGGAAAAAATATTACAATGACATGTACGTTTATGTCATTTATTTCATTAACATGATTAAATTAAGTTGTAAATTAATCATTATCATTCTGTGTAACATTTAATGTCAAGTTTTTGGCTGATAGTAGATCACAAAATAATAACCAACATCTAATTTTGTTTTTTATTTTTTTTATTTTATTTTTTTTTATTTTTTGTTGTTGTTGTTGTTGTATATTTCTAATTAATCAACCCTTATCAACAAATAGAAAGCACATAGCAACAGCTACACAACTCATCGCGAAAACAAATTTAAAAAAAAACAAAAACAAAAAAAAAGGAAAACGCAACCGTAGACAAAAATCCTTGAAACTTCTCTCTCCCCACTAACCCGCCGTTGTCCAAAGCAGGAACAAACTGATCTGTGGTGGCGTTGGGAGTGGGGCTGAAACTTTGACAGAATGTGTTGTTATTGACAATAAGTCTATGCGCCTAACTGCGGTTCGAAAAGATGATGGGGAAGTGGGTCAATTAGCCTGCCGAAGATTTTACTGCCGCAAAGAAAGAAAGAAACACGAAAAAATTCGATGTTGACATAAAGGATTTACAAATACGTATGTCAGGGGACAGAATATGGTTCTTACCAGGGGCGTCATCCGGTACGGGACACACTCTAGTGATGCCCCTGGCTCTTAGCCTTTTTTGTTTTCATCAGTGGCTTATACGACGGGTTAAATGGTGGCTGTTAAAGTGGCTTATATGGTGACTAATAGGGTGACTTATAGCGTTGCTTATATATTGTGGTTTATATGGTGGCTTATACGGTTGGAGAACAATAATTTTACGGCCTGAGACTCTTCATATAACAGAAATAGATAAATGATCATTTAGAAATTTAAAAAAAAAATGCAAAGTATCAAAGCTCGGGGGAAATGGATACGCCACTATTTGTAAAGTCATTCATGAATCCGTCAAGTCAAGAGGAAAAGACAATGTGCCCACTCAGATCTGTTGTTGTTGTGTTGATTGCCATGTCACTCCTCTCCCGTGACCATCTGCCAAGCTTTACAGCTAGTGGCGCTCACACATCCAGGTGAGATTACAATCAACATCTCATTAGG